CTCCGATCCAAAAAGATGAGCCCCAAGTGTGAATTGCAAATTGAAGGTTTCAAAATCAATCAAGTGCTGAAATTTAAATATCTGGGAAGTGTTTTAATAGAGGACGGAAAACGTGACACTGCGATCCGAAGACGTATTGGGTCTAGCCAAAGATGCATTCCAAAAGCTAAGTTGAGTATTAAGATATAGGAAAATTTCACATAGAGTATCAAGTTAGAGAACTAGAAGTGCTACCAGGATTCATTATTGGCGGCCACAATCTCAACAATATAAGATAGAAAGATAACACAATGTTGATAGCAGACAAAGAAAGAAAGCTAGAAAAAAACCTCCTACAGAAGGCAATGAAGAAAAGCGAGAAGAAAGGGTTAAACATCAACTACAAGACAAAATGCAGGGTTATTCGCAAAAAGGGTGAGCCCAATGGGCGAATTGCAAATTGAAGGTTCCAAAATCAATCAAGTGCAGAAATTTAAATATCTGGGAAGTGTTTTAACAGAGGACGGAAAGAATGACACCGAGATCCGAAGATGTATTGAGATATCCAAAGAAGAATTTAAAAGCTAAGCAGAGTATTCAGAAATAGGAAAATTTCAGATAGATTATAAACTGAGAGAACTAGAAGTCCTACCAGGATTCATTATTGGCGGTCATAATCTTAACAATATAAGATATACAGATGACAGAGTGTTGATAGCAGATACAGAAAGAAAGCTACAAAAAACTCCTACAGAAGATAGGGAAGGAAAGCGAAAAGAAAGGATTAAACATCAACTGCAAGATGACAAAATGCATGGTTGTTAGGAAAAAGGTTGAACCCAATGGGTGAATTGAAAATCGGAAATGCCAAAATCAAACATGCACAAAAATTTAAATATCTGGGAAGTGTTCTAACAGAGGACGGAAAGTGCGACACTGAAATCCGAAGTGGCATCGGGATAGCGAAAGATGCCTTCCAAAAACTAAGCAGGGTATTAAGAAATAGAGAAAAAAAACTTAGCTAGAATCAAGGAAAAGAGTGCTGAACTGTTACATGATATCTGTCCGCCTGTATGGCAGTGAGTGTTGGACAATCTCCTCAACGATAAAGAAGAAACTTGAAGCAACAGAAATGTGGTTCTACAGAAGGATGCTGAGGATAACAGGGGCTGATTATGTGAGTAACAACAAAGTTTTAGAAAAAATGGAGACAAAAAAGGAACTTATATATAACATAAGGAGGAGACAGTTGAAATTTCTAGGGCACATAATGAGGAAAGAGGGCTTGGAAAATCTGATACTCACAGGACAGATTGAAGTCAAGAGGGACGGAGGAAAACAACAGATAATTTAGTGAGATTAAGTAAATGGACAGCGGAACGAGGTTTGGGAGAAATAACAAAAAGACAAAATTTATTAAAAACTAAAAGGGAAAGGAAATTGTGGAGAGCCGTGATCGTCTACATCCCGAGGGGACTTGATAAATAGTGATCTTATAAGCGTAGCTTAGATGTGTTACAAAATATGGGGCACCCAGTGTGGATCGAACTCACTCGTAATTATTCAAGCGCGACAAGCTTCCTAAACATTACACCGCCTCGAGGTCCCCAAAAATGATTTTCTAAGGGCAGCTTAGATATGGCACAAGGCCGAAAGCATAGGGCACTCAGTGAGGATTGAACTTGTTACTCACTAGTAATGATCCTAGCGAGACAAGCTTGCTAAGCATTACACTGTATCGAGATGCCCAAAAGAATAATTATTTTCAAAGGGTAAATTAGATGCAGCACAAGACCGAAAATTTGGAGCACCCAGTGAGGATCGAACTCACTATCCAGTCGTAAAAGATCTAGCGAAAGACCAAGCATGCTAAGCATTACACCACATCGAAGTATCCATAGGGAGTGGGGGAGCTCGGTATATAAAAAAGAAGTTGTAGAACCTATGAGTTTAGAGTAGAAAAAAGAGAAACTAATGATTTGGCAGACAATATGGACTCCAACATTCAGACGAGATCTTTCCAAACACTTCATCCAATTTAATTACTACTTTTTCTTTAAAACATTTCATTAAATAAATTCTTTTTATATCCATTTTGAATAATGTTACTTTGGCTCATATTCAGTAGCTTAACTAGAGGATAGTGGTCTGTCCCGGTCGGCACTTTTATGAGAGCAGCACTTTTGGATCCATTGTATAACTCTGTATAAGAAAAGCAAGAAAAGTTACTTTCTGAAGTAATGAATTTTTATTTATTTATCAATCCAGCCGATTTTTTATCACCCTAAACGTTATTTTTAGTGGATACCCATAGTTAAGTAGACGCTCTGTTTACTTTGTAAACAGTATATTTATTTTTCGTTCAGCGGCTTGGTTATTCGAGAAATATAAAATGAAAATTGCCAGCGCGCGTTCTTCTTTGATAAGATTTCTCGAATATCCAGACCGACGAACAAAAAATAAATATAATCTTTTGAAATATGGCCACCCACTAAAATCGACGATCAAATGTTAAAAAAAT